GCTCATTTCCACGCTTCATACTTGTGCTTTGGTTTTTCATTTTCGTTTTCATTTTCGTTCATTGATTTTAGCGTGCATATTTGAAATTTTCATAAAAAGCGAAAAACAAAACTGCAATGTTTTTGCTCTCTTCTATAAATTTCCACATGCGCCAATTCGATTTTCTTTTGCAAAATATGCAAGCAATGCCTACGAAAAAAGTGAGTAAGTTAAGTAAAAAACAAGCCAGCAACAACGGGCCGCATTCACATGCATTGCAGTATCTAACGGATGCGAAATTGCGTCAAAGCGGCACTTTGAATTTTACCGGTTCTATCTATACATGTGCTCGCATTAGGCTGCCCATTCGAGAATTCCATATTCATGAGCTGCTCATAATTGCTGGCAGCATTTAGATTGCGACAGCCAGACCTGGACATAAGTACGGACACCGTGTGATAGACATTTGTCGTCAACGGAAGGTATTTTTGTGGTTGTTATTAGTGGTTTCTTTATAGCTCCATATGCTAACTTGGCCACGTGCGAGTGTCGAAATTGGGCGAATGCTGCGCTAATTGGTCGCACAATCGGCGCGTTCGACTTTTCCGGCTTCTGCTGGAAATTGCCGCAATATAGAAATTGATTTGAGCTTTTAAACTGGCGGATCAGAGGCCAAACCAATAAAATCTCAATTTAATATTGTGCAATTCAATTTCCTTGTTCATGACTATGATTTCAATTTTTGATTGCAACTCAATAAAGATATGATATTTTTAGAAAAAACAAAAAGATATTGAAATTAGATTCATTAGAGTCTGTCAACTAGATAGCGAAAATATCAAAATTCAGCTATAGATGCATATGCATAAAACAAAAAACTGAAAGGTATAACGAAACTTATGTAAATTTTTTGAAAATAAATTCAGTTGTGACTGAAATGAAAAATAAAAGGCAAGGAATTGGACCTTGGCTTTGAATTAAAATATAAGAAATTAATTTTTCGCACAATCGATTTCAGAATAAATGACGTCACTAATATTTTAAAATGTGAATTGTGCGACTATCACTTTTTCATGGATATTCTATTGATTTTTAAATAATATACAAAAGTACAAATAATGTTTGATTAGAAAACCATTTTAAATGCAATGAAAAACTGAGTTCGGCGTAGTTAGGGTGTATTCAATAGTTATAAATTGTTTGATCCAATAAATTAGGAAAATCACTAAAAAGGGGCTGCTTTTAGAGCTGCTTTTAGAGCTGCTTTTGAAAATCCCTATTCTTTTACCAATGCATTGGCATTACAATGCCAGCTAAATGCCATCTATAAAGAATTGCAATTGAATTCGAAAGTATGGGAAAAATCTCTTTTGAATTAAATTCGTAAATGCATCAAATCTAAAATTAAGTGATAATAGGATATTTGAATAATTATACCCTGTACCCGTAGGGTAAAAAGGGTATATTAGGTTTGTGCAAAGTATGTAACATGCAGAAGGAAGCATCTCCGACCCCATAAAGTATATATATTCTGAATCAGCATGACGAGAGAAATCGATCTAGACATGTCCGTCCGTCTGTCCGTCCGTCTGTCCGTCCGTCTGTCCGTCTGTCCGTCTGGATGAACGCGAGGATCTCAGAAACTATAAAAGCTAGAATAACCAAAGTTGGCATCCAGATTCTCCTAGGTCCGAGTAAGGACGAGTTTATTTTTTTTTTTTTAATTTTCCCCCCCTTCCCCCGCTACAGAATTTCGTCAATAGCGTCCACATTTCAAATGCTACCTCAACCAAACTTTTCACACATAATTTATATATAATTGTCTACTTTTGTTTAAAATTTTATCCAATTCGGTCAATTCTGAGAAAAGTTATTAGCGAAACAAATTCTCTACAGTACAACCCCCACAAACTGCAGCAACGAGTTCGCTCTTCTTCTTCCTGTTTTTGCTGCTGCTATGGGCGCATATAACTCAGTGACGGAAGTTTACCTGGGTACAGGGTATTACACTGTCGGGCTTGCTCGACTGTAGCGTTCTCTCTTGTTTACGTTTGGTAATATTTTTTAAATAGAATCCAAACACATTGCAACATTTTACATTTCCCTATTGCAAATATTTGCGACAAAACGTGAAATCTAAAACAATTGAAAATTAAAAATTGCAGTAAAAATTCAATGGGAATATGTTTTGGATTAATACCTTTAAGAGTATAAAACAGAAATGTATTGAATTGGGTTTCCCTTACTTTATTTAACTATCGAAAATGTGTAAGCGGATTTTTTTCATATATTAGATAAGATTAGATTTGATGAAAATTGATAAAAAATGCATATCATTGATGAATTATTTTTATAAGCAATGTGCAATCTACACAATCCTCATATAATTTTTGAAATCGAATCTATTGGTCTCTTCATAAACCTTTCTTTGTACAAGAGAATGTGAAAGTTTGAGAAGCATTTTATTTACGAAACGTATTACCATTGGGTGATAATTAAGACGTCGAGTTTTCCTAACAAGCAGACATTCGAAAGGAATGTTTGTGTGACGCACTTCCTATTGGATTCGTCTCCTGCCAATTTGCAACATTTTGACAATAAAAAACGAGGTAGTTTCGCTACTTTAATTTGCCATTTAATTGAGCGTAATTAAAAAAAAAAAACACCAAGCCTGTTTCACGCATACAACAAAAACAATGACAACAATAACAACCCGTAGCAAGGCCACAAAGAAAACAGCCATGCATGTAAAGATTTCCTGCTAATTTTTCCAGTTTATTAAACTGGAAATGGCAATAGCCTCGACCGAACTGTTGAAGCGCCCCCGATGGAGCACTTTTCGATGTCAACCGCTGTCGATGAAAAGTAACGGTAATTTGCAACAATGTCGTGAGTGTTGCGCGTGAGTGTGCGATGTTTTTGATGTTGCACCGTAAATTCAGTCTGTGTTCAAGTTCAACAGCAACTAGCAACAACGCATCTCTTACAACTTACTATATAGCTTGGCCGGCGATTTCCAAACCGCTTCGTGTCAATGGCAGCAGTCGCTGGCTTTTGTCTTGTATTTGATTTCATCATTTGCTGCATGTTTTTACAGCTTGGTCAACTTTTATTTCCATTGCGCGCCGGCGTGTCTAGTTGCGTTCGCAGCTGGTCTATTGAGCGGCGCGAACATTAATTTTATTTGGCTTGCCGCGCTCCAACGCTCGAATGTCAAGTTTGAGCAAGAAAAAGTTGTGCGCTTACTTTTTCATTTCGTTTTTCATTTTGCATTCAACACTTTTCCACTCTCCCGCTGACCAAGTCTGCACTTGCTCTGGATTTCAATTTCGCTTGCCAATTGCTTCGCGTCGTTTCTCACTGCCTCCGTGAACTTTGCCACAGACAAGATTTCGATTTGGCCACAATTGAGTTGTTGGTAGTTGGCAACAGTTGGCCGAATGTGTGCGTGAAGGAGTGCTGCTATTGTGCCATTAATTGCGCACATTGCGTATACGCCATATCTGCAGATCTTAGATCGAAACAATTTTCGGCATAGACGCAAATATGAAAGTGCCACGCACAAGGCCGGCTCTGTGTCGGTTGCCCCAACACAGTCGCCCTGATGTTTTCATTAGCACACACGCCCAGCACTTGGCGATTTCAATTTATAAATCTGCACGCAAGCCCAGCGTCTTGGTGGTCTGGTCCTTGGCCAAATATTGTTCAACACAAGTGCTACAGTGGCGCATAAATTTGTTTCCCAGGCCAAACATATATTTGAAAAACAATTAAATGGCGTTTTAAATATGTCTATAATGCATTGCTTCCCGCAATTTCTATATTAAAGTGCTGCTCTTTTTAAAATAAATGATATATAAATTGTTTTGTTGTTTGCAAACATATATATCTTTTGAAACTAAATAAAATGACATAATTTTTAATAAATACTCTCAAAAATCTACACATATTGTTTTCCAATCGATGCAACAATTTATTTTATAATTTTAATTTTTTAACCTTCAACTTATGTTTTGTTAAAGCTCTCATCGGTTTAAATGGGAATGTTTTTAAATAATAATAATATTTATTTTAAAAAATGTCTTGTAGAGAATTCAATAATTTATAATTTTATTTAATTACTTTAAGATTTCATGAAGTTTTTATTTAATTTCAGCATTCGATCTAAGCGGAGGCTTTATCTTTCTAAGGAACCCTTTCGTTTAAAATATTTCTTCTTTTTTTATTTAAATTTTCCCGCCTTTTTGTTTTCTTGTTGTCTTCAACTACTTAAGTAAGAAAATAATTTCATTGCATAAATTCGGCTGCAGTACCACTGTGCAGCCTATGTCCAAATAATCAGCTCTTACCCAAACAAAAAATTACAATAATAATAGATTTAGTAAAAACATATTTTACACGTTTTTCGATATTTGATTGATGCCAGTGTGGCCGATACACATAAGCAGGTTAACTCACTCACAATTCATACTCGTATTTGTATTTTGATTGATAAGTATCTTTTGGCATTTGCTTTGTTATCTAAATGTGGCAATCAATCAACACGATTGTGGTGTGAAGATGCGCCATCAATCGCTTGATTAATTAAGGGGATTATTCGGTTGGGAGTGGTAAGCAGCATTGTGAAGGCACACTATTTTGTCAATGGCTTGCTTAGGCAATTATAATAGTCACAGCGCTTGGCTGTGTGTGGACGCGCACCACTTAGATAGCCGCCACAATTTATATCGTAACGGCTCCTAGACATAATTGGTGCACCAGGCTGCCGTCAATGGCTCTGCGCCACTTTCTGGTCGAGTAGCACAACAAGTCGGAACAGGAGTAGCAGCAGTCTTCTTCAATTCAAGTCCGGCTTCGGTTTAATTGGCAGCTCTACATTTTATCTAATGTTTTGTAAAATATTGTTCAGGTTGAACGACACAACTACTAAAATCGGCATTGTTTTGGACACTACATTATTTTTTATGTAAGTTATGCCGCGTTATATATATTTAAAAAGAAACTAGTATTGAAGCCATTACCTTTTCTGTTACGTTGTGGTTGCAGCTGTGGACTACCAATACGCACCGCTTGCGTTGTCGGCAGATCAATTAACATTGCAATAATCGCCAAAAATCCAATAAAATGTTTTAATCCTTTGTGCGACATGGTCCATTTGACAGACATTTTGCACTAATTTGATTTAATTTGTTTATAAATAACTAGAAAATTAATTTAATTGCAGCACAGAGCACTTTTCTTTTTTATTTATTATTATAAATTTTTTCGAGCGTAACCTGGCACAAGTTACGCGCTCGTCGGGACTAGTTACACTTGTGGCAGGATGTGCAACCGTTGGATGGCGAGCAGCTACTGCCGAGTTGCACGCAAATGGTAAACGAAAAGATTTTAAATTCCACAACGCTGGCGGCTTTCTACTGCGACAACGGACTGACAGGTACACAGGCAGGGGTACAGGCACAGGCACGGATAGTCAAATAGACTGGAAACTGCAGCGCAACGAAATACTGCGGCAGAGCTTTCTGAAACACGCGCCCCGCTATTAAGCACCAAACTGAAGTGCTGTTCGCACATATGCGGCTATATAAAACCTTTCGAGCGCGCACTGCAAGCGGTCCGAGCTTGCGCACAAAATCTTGGAACGGCCGAATGAATCACGCGATTGCTGCGGCCGAAGAGCGCAATGTGCAGCGGCGGCCAAGACGCAACCACGACCAACAAAGAGCGGCAGTCAGGCTAAGAAAGCTTTACAAAGCCCACGCAAGCTGAGCGCAGAGCAGAGAGTAAAAAAGAGAAGGAGAGTCGTTGCGAGTTAGTGAGTGTATAGTACTATGATCGTAAGACTTAAGGCACGAACTTTGCTTTTTGTTTTTGTTTTCCCAAATCCATTTAACAAGTTTCAATTTCCTTTGAAAGAATATTAACGGGTTCTTTGCTTCAGTCTTGCGTTTTGCTGACTCTCACTCTCTCTTTCTCTTCAAGTCGCTCACTACACGCACGAATATCGTTTACGATAAGTGTATGTATAGCTGTTTTTGTTGCTCTGTTATGCTCTTGTTATTGTGGGCAGTTGCCGTTACAACGCCAACATTTTCTTTCAGTTTCATTCATAACTCTATCTTACAGTTGCTGTTAACGTACAATGTTAGATAACAGCCGCTGTTAGCGCACATACTCGTATCAATTTTGTCAAATGTGTGTGTTTTTTTTCCAAATCGAAATAGATGATTATGATCTTCTCGTCACCTCGTCGAGTCTTCCGTGTGCTGTCTTTTTAATTCACTTTAACGACAGCTTCCTTGTAGCTTCGTAGCTTCGTATTCATGAAATCGGCCGAAATTTCGTGCATCTACAATGACAATCAAGTTAATTATGCATTGTTGTTGCATGCACTGCATTGACTCTGCTGATGGTAACTAGACGAGCGTGCTGCAGACTTATTTGCAATTTGCTGCAAACTTAATATTATAATCAGCAATAGATGCAGGTGTGAAACTTTGACTTTGGCTTGTTGAAATTCAATTATACTTTGTTGTTGTTTGCAGTCGGCTAAAACTGACATTGGGTGCACCAAAGGCAAAAAGTAAAAGCCACTGCTCCGACAGAAACAAGACGATGAGGCTGACACAGACACAGACAACCGCACGCACTCATGCAAATGAAAATGCAGAGTCTGCCTTTGGCATTTTCCCCACAACCACTTAATCGGTAGTTCACCCCAAAAGATCTGTTCGGGCGCTGGCCAGCTAGCTGACTGGATAGCTGTATGTCAGCCAGTCTGTCTGTCTGTCTGTCTGTCTATCGGGCTGGTTTTGGCTGTCAGTCACATGTGAAATGTGGTCTTGAAAATTACATTTGTTTGGTAGCAAAACATGGTAGCGGCAATGTGGTAGCAACGCTCTGTTAGCCAGTGTAAATATCAATGTTAATTGTCTATTGTTTGGCTAAAACGTTGTGAGGGATTGGTCCGGAGAAATGCAAACCACTAGCGATTGTTTCTACCTTCTTTACTATGTGTACTATATGTGTACATACATATTTTTTACAGTATCCAACGTTTGCATTCGGCTCGTGGTATGCACATTCCCTCCGGAGACAAGCGCCTCACAAAGCCCTCCTTACAAGCACATCCTCGCTTGCACTTCTGGGGATAGCAGCGACGAGGGTACAGTGCGTCCACACACAGCTTGGGGCAGGAGGGTATGCAATCAACTTTGACGTCGTTCCGTACACAGACTACAAGTAGTATAACAAATAGCCAATAAAATCATCGATGAACATCGTTGCAGCTTACCATACAACATGGAGTGGACGTGGGCTTCGATGTGCGCTATCAGAGTTAGGAGCGTTGTCAGGAATACTAGAAAGTAACTTTTCACTGGCTTCATTTTGAAAAGCTGTCTTTTTACCTCTCTATCTGTATTTTCAGTCGTCTGGCCATCGCGCATATTTGCATAATTGATAACAAATTCGCTACGTTTCGCTTGGCGTGACGAAAGCATCCGCTTAGTTAAATGCATCTGCTAACACGTTCAAAAAAATAAATAGTTTATTTTATCTCTAAAGTACTAAAATGTAAATTAATATGTTAATAGTCGTATTTAATATAACTTTAAGCTATTACATTTTTAAATGTATAATTAAATTAAAATATAAATACTTGTAAATAATCCAGGCACAAAATAAAGATGCAACACGCTGTGAGGGCGCTTTCCAGCAATTCTTCTACGATATTCTAATCTCATTTTTTAAAGTCACAAGTATATATATTTTTGTTTGTTAACTTTGTAAAGATGACTATATAATTGTGCTTAATGTCTAGATAGTTATATTATTAATAATAGGCCAGCACAAAATTCTTATTCGTATACCATAACTTTTATTCTGTGGTGTCTAGACGAAGAGACTAATCCCATATACTGTTGAGCTCGTATAGAAAAATTTGTGAAATAGAACAAATTGTACATTTTTAATTCAATAACGACTTCCCCGCCGAGCTGCCAATTTTTAGGCTTTTTTAATCGCATCTGTCTTTCCTTCGTTCTGCCTAGGCTGTGTCGTCAATAAGCATTTTGGATCGTAAGTATTAAAGATTTTGAAATAAAGCTCTAAAGGAGAACTTTTATTTGTTTCAAATCAGAGAAAATAAAAAAAACACAACTGCAAATTACTTCTAAGTAAAACATATAATGATATCTATATAAGTAGATGTTTAGCAAGTTTCTTTTATTTGAATTTGGTATTTTTGTATAAAATGAAACAAAAAACATTTAAACGTTTATTTTGTAAATTTATTGAGGGGCAAAATTACCCATTCATTCTGAAGAGTCCATTAATGAATCATTTGATTAAACAGAAATCTATAGAAATTACAAAAAATAATTAAGGGTAAGTCTCAAAAATATATAAACTTAAGTAAATTGTTTTCGATTCAAAATATCTCGTATTTGGCCATTTAATAGTTGATAAAAATTGATCACCATGCTGTGCCATTAAAAAGCATGCATTGGGGGTCATGTAGGTGCATAAGCCTGTCGACTAATTAATTTTCATGTCGCATTTGGTTTGAACAATATTGAAATAAATAGCCACTCATATTCGAATTTAACATTAAAAATTACTTTATTGGGCGTGTCGACAACTATATTTGCGGCATTTAAATGGCGCTTTGCTTTTAATTTCGACCAACCTGTAAAAAAAACTACCGAAAATTAAAATACCTTCACTTTCGGTTTCAGTGAGCTTGCCAAATAAAAGATCTCTATCGGAACAAAGTCGAAACAGAAACAGAAATAGAAATAAATACGCGAATTTGTTACTTTATTTTAGCGGCCAAACACCTCCGCCCAAACGTGGCATGGGAAAAACAAAAGACGCTTTACTTTACAAATTTATTGGCCCGATCTAAGCGAGGGGTCGCTTTTATTTTTTGTGGTCGACTTCGATTCGACTGTGACGGCGGAACACCCAAAAGCAGAAAAACAAAAAAACCCTAAAAAAAAAATCTCAAACTTTGGCCATAAAGCTGAAAATGAATCACGATTTTATGCAAAGCTTAATGCTCTTATTTTTTTTGTTGATTTGTGCTGCATCCGCCCACCCGCTGAGCCCGTTGCAGCCACAAGACTGCTTCAAGTTTGCCAAATTAGCCACATTTAGCTAGACGTGATTTTTATTTGCAAATTATGACAATATTTTGGCCCAGACTGCTGGTGCGCTGGTGCCCTCTGCAGTTGTGGGTTACTGGCACAGCCAATGCACGTTGTCTCGAGAGTCTTGGACTAGTCTTGGGACTAGTCGTGCGGTGGGACGGAGCGGCGTGACATCGGGAGGCGGCAGACGCCTCAGGCGAGCACGAGTTCACTGTCATGAGTCTCTCCGGTCTGCGGCTTTCCACTGCAGTTGCCCTGCGTTCAGCCTCTGCACAGAAGTTGGCCAAGTTGTCAGCTTCAATTGCATAATGTTGGGCAAATGGGACAAGACCATTGTCTATTGAAACGTTTGCTTAATTGCCCAGGCGGATGGACAGCAATAGCGCTGATAGAGCCGTCAAGCAGGAGGATATTCCCATTACGATTTGTCATAAAGCAATTTAATATTAAAATAGAACTCAAACATAGCCACCACACCCGTTCCACGGCGTCAAGGTCGTTCAAACACTGCCGCCAACCATCGCCATGTGGCAGCTACGATATGAGTGCGAGTATGTCGCATATTTGAACGATCAGTAACTATGCTATACTACAAGTATGTCCGCCGCCGTTTCCAAATTGATTTTTAATTGCCAAAGCTGTGCTTTCAGTTTTGTGAGGTCGCCGCTGGCGATTGTTGGCAAATATTCAAAAATTAAAAAAAGATCTCATTGCAAAACATGGAAGTCATGGAAGTATAGCCGCAGAACCAATACTTGAATCAATTATTCAAAGTGGGGCGATCCGCTACCGTTCTTGTGACTTGTTCGCACAGAAAACGCAAAAGAATAATTTGGAGAGGAAGACTGCAATATTCGAAAGGAAAATCAACTCTAATTGCACATTTGATATTTATGCTATTCCCATGAGCTTTTGTAATCTAAGACTGAGACGATTAAAGAGCATTAAATTGCTTGTCACTTACATTGAGGCTTCTAATATTTATTAGACCTACAGATTACATACAGGTTTCCATATATCAATATTGTTCTTATACCTTCTTTTCAATCACAGACTTTCCCCATTTTATTGAAGCTATTCTCAAATATTGATATATATATATATATATATATGGGGTCAACATCGCCTCAGCGTTCCTATATGTTATATTTAATTAAAACTTAATTATATGTTGTATTTTTTATTTTTGATGATAAATGTACGTTTTGTTCGCTTAATGGCCAGTGTCTTATTAAAATTGTTATTCATCTGCAATATCGGTTCATTTGTTGGTTTAATAGACTACTGTTCTAATCTAAGTGCATATGATAATTGTTAAATTATTAAGTTTAGCACGCATCTCTATAATCGTGCGTTTCACAATAAACAATTAAGATAAACAATTGAGATTAACGAACAAATTATGAAAACCGGCAAATCGGTGAGAAGCCCACAAAACGTGTCATACTCGTAGTATTTAAATAAGTTGTTGTTGCGCTTCCTACGCACTTCTCTGCTCTAAAACATAATGAGACGTGACCCAAATCGGTTAGAGCAGCGAAGACAGACAAATCTCTAAATTATCGCATTTGGCTGGCAAGTTTATTTTGATTGCATTGCTTTTCTGTGCATTTGAAATTGTTTTTCTTTTTTGGTTTTTTGTTTTCTGAAATTTACAAAGAGGTCTTAAATTGTTGGTTGCGGTTGCCCAAAATGGAATCAAAACCAAACCGACGATAAATGCATGCTTTAATGCACTTGTAATTAAACGCCGTGATTACGAAATACTCGTAAATCTATGGATATTCTTCCGCATCGAGACCATTACACATGGACCATTTCAAATCCAAATTCAAATTAAAATCATCAAGTTCCAATGACTGCTAAGTGTGATTGATGCCGCACGAAGGCGAACCTTTTACGATTTGCATTTCTATTCCGTAGGCGCTTTTAAAAGCGATGTGTGTGTGTTTTCTTTTTTATTTAGCCAAAGATTATGACATAAAGCTGTACAATCAACCACAGACGTTGCTGCACTTTCTTTGGCTTGTCGGCTCCAGTCAAATGCAACGGCAATTGCAAATGCAACAACAAGCAGGCGGTGCAGGTGATCGTTAGACATCCGCGTGAAAACGCCAAATGTAAAATTGCCGACGACAATGCGTCTTAGACAAGTTTAGAGCCCGCATTGGCAGCCAACGGTAGCCGACTGGAAAGTCAAGCGATGTTGCTGCTGCATCCACCCACCCACACACTCCAAAATTAAGAGGCTCTCCAATCTGCCACCGCTCCATGCAAATTGCTGCAAGACTTGGCAAAGCGTTGAAAAATTGCTTGTATCAGCCATTGTACACACATATGTATATACTCGCAATAGAAACTGCTCTACAAATCGTTTTAGCGTCAAACACTTGCCCTAACACCTTGCCTTTACCCTCACTTCATCACCCTCTGTCGGTCTCTCTGAGGTGGGGGGAAGGTGCAAGGTCGCCAGAAAGTCCAAAAGGCCTCTACACTCGCAACAGGTGCTACGCTCCACATTTGCCACACTTTTAATTAGTTTTGAGCAATGAACTGAACAATACGGATATGCCATAGAGTAGAAGAGAAAAAGGCAAAAGGAATGTCTGTGTAGTGTGTGTGGATGATTGATTTTTGACCCGCACCATTGAAAGTTAAATTCGCACATAAGTGAATTGATTTCGACGAGGTTTTGGAAAAGCAAGCACCGAGCAGCAAGCAACAAACACCGATCAGCGAGAGACGAGAGACCAAAAAACTAACAAAGCCCAGGCTAACAATCCAAAAGAGATAGTATTTATTTGTACTTTTTAATGATATGACAACAACAACACAACACTCAAAGTGATAGGCGAAATTTTCACCATTGCCACTAAAACTAAATCGCTGTGAAGGTGAAGAGCTGGCGTAATACTTAAGAGCCTACTGTTTGCTAAAATAGTCATGGCATTCAACTAAAAATTTCACTAAAAACTGTGCCCCCACACGCGAGAAAGGTAAAAAAAAGGTGTCCATTGAAGAACCATATTTTGCCACGGCGTTGATCCAGATGCCTGCCGGTCCACTGCGATGATCATTTGTAGATATTTGTTTATCCAAATATTTTAGAAGCAATCTCAGGAATCAATAGAAGCTTGCCAAATAAGTCTCAAGTCTTAACAAAACGATTTAGCCAGATATAGGACTCGTATTCTAAGTAGTGCGGGGCAATCGAAACCAGCAATAATCTCTTCTTTGCGTAATCTTAAACAAATTAGAGAAAATTGTTCATCCATCCGATAATTGTACAAGTATGAGTATTAATTCAGCATTACATCAAACATCAATTTTATTTTTCACAGCAATTCAAACATCAAAATAATTACTTAAGTGTGTATTTTTCTTTTTTATGCACGCCCTGTATTTTTTTTTAACTC